CCTCATCATGACGAGAGCAGATGTTCTCTGGAGCTTCTCGGAGGGCTCCACCAGCTTGTGTTTTTTAAATGTAGGGATTCATAATGAGGCTGCAGGTGTTTCTCACAGTAAGAGGCCAGACAGACCAGACAGGACTTGAGGGCTTTCAGTTTCTCCCAGTGCAGACATCACAGGCCAATCTTCAGGTCCAGCATAGCAGTGATCAGCAGGAGCAGCTTGGAGTCCAGTCTTCTTCAGTTCCTCCACTAAACAAAAATGCTAACGTGGTGTTTTTCAACAGGACAGGCCTCGGTCTAAAGGTCTGCCTGCACTGAGGGCAGCTGTGGATTTTCTTCTCTTCATCCAGTGGGTTTTAATACAGTTCATGCAGTAGCTGTGTCCACAGGGAATAGTCACCGGATCCTTCAGTAGATCCAGACAGATGGAACAAGAGAAGGTTTCTCGGTCCAGCTGAACTCCTTTCTGCGCCATTTCATCTCTCAGTGGCAAAGACTGTCTGAGTTTTCACTTTCTCAGAAGTGAAAGTAGTTCGAGCTCTGATCTGAACAGCATGTGTTTCTGCAGTGAATGGGGTCTGTCAGCACAGGCACTTCACCACATGTTGGTCACACCCATCTTCAAACTGTAGATCTGAAGGGGAGGGAACAAGGGAACAAGGAAATATATGGACAGAGTGGAGCTCGCTGTGATTGCGAGCAAGAAGAAGAGGGAGGGTTTTAATTATGAAGCTGCATCTCTTTCAAGAGGAGCAGCTCTGGATTTAAACCATAGACAGTATATTACTGGACGATGCCACAGCGCGGGTTTCAATGGAGAGCAGTGAAGCCAGTTTTGGTCGTATAATACTTATGCAGCTACTTCCTGTTGGCACCAGCATCCACTGCGCATGATTGTGCAGCATGAGCGTGGTTTAATGACGTAGAGTAACAGCAGAAACACAGTAATTCTGGTAGCTGCAGAACTGCACCGTATTGTACCAAAAAATGATTTTGGTACCATTAGTTTGTCTAATGCGGATTGTAACTGTTTCAACCCACTAAAAGGCTCATTTGCTGAACACCAATGTATCATCACAGGTTGCCAAATAAATTTTTTTTCAGATTCCCAGAAAGCTTAGCAATATGGTTACATCTCTCATGTGCAAAGAAGCCAAACAACTGATCTTATCCAGCAACACAAGACTCCCCTGATTAAATTCTACCTTTGACCATCACTGGATCCCCTGTAGAAACTGTCAGCAGTTTAAATGTCTTGGAGCTGTGACTGATGGCCGCCTGAACTTCACACAGAGAGCTTACTATATATTTAAGGAAACAAAGACAAAGTGAGCCGAGGAGCTTTAACCTCCACTACATCCCTGGTTAGCAGGATGAAGGCGCCCTCTTGTGTTGAGAATCAATTTTCACATTTCAGTTGACCTGTGGTGATGTTCACTGCAGGAAGACATGGAAACACTTCACTGAGCCTTTGGCAGCTCCAAACAGCATCAGTGAAGAGAGATTTAAATAGATGTAATATCAATCTAACTTTATTTGGTGAGATATTATCAAACTTAGTACGAAGTGCTATCAAAGAAAGATAAAAACATTACAATCATTGCAGTTAATAAAAGACAAAAATAATGTATGACATACAATGCTGAAATTAAAATGAAATTAAAACAATAAAAGGGCTAGCATGTCAGATAAAAATCAGAATGCTTTCTGGAATAAATACGTTTTCAGGCGAGATTTAAAAAGAGGCATTGAATCTGACATCCTGATACCATCAGGCAGGTCATTTCAGAGCCTTGGGGCCCTGATTCCCAGAGGCTCTATCTCCACGTGTATTCAGCCTGGCCTTGGATGCACAGAAGACCCCTGCCGGAGAATCTCAGGCTGCGCACTAGATAGTCAGGGGTTAAGAGGTCAAGGATATATTCTGAAGCCAGTTCATTAAGAGCTTTTAAATTATTCAATAAAACTTAAAATCTTTCCTACAGACAGGGAGCCAATGTAAAGAGATTAAAATCAAAGTGATGCGGTCGTGCTTCCTAGTTTGGGCTAATAACATTGCAGTTGTTTCTGCATCTCGGGCTTTAAGATAGATCTTATCTTGTTAGCAATATTTCTAAGGTGATAGGAGCACGACTGTACAAGCTTAGTGATGTGTTGTTTGAAGCAAAGATTACTATCAAAAAGGACACCGAGATTTCTGGCAACAAGCGTAATGTGCGTAGACAAGTAACCAGTAGAGGATGTAATATGTCTAGTTATGTGCTGGGCTCCAATTACAAGGATTTCAGTTTATTTGGTATTTAGTTGAAGAAAATGTATTCACATCCAGTCTTTCATATCAGCCGGTCAGGCCTGGAGGGAATGCAGCACACTGAGGTCAGTAGGCTTCACCGGGAGGTATAACTGAGTATCGTCTGCATAGCAATGGAAGGAAATACCATATCGGTGGATCATGTCACCCAGTGGGACCATGTAGATGGAAAACAAAATAGGTCAGAAGATTGATCCTTGGGGCACATCAGAATGAACAGGAGATAAAGCAGACTTAAATTTATTAACAGACACATAGAACTTCCTGTTAGACAAATACAAGAAATACCAGTCCAATACTGTGCCAGAGATGCCCACCTAGCGCCTCAGTCTATTTAAAGCCATGGTTGATTGTGTCAAAAGCAGCAGGCAAGTCTAACAGCAATTGAACACATGCCAGTGTCCACGTTCAATAGCGGGTTGGTAATTTTTAGAAGAGCAGTCTCTGTGCTGTGGTGTGATCAGAAACCAGATTGGAATCTTTCAAAAATGTCATTGTTCTTCATCAAATCAAGGAGCTTGGAAACTATTTATTTGGAAATGAAGGGCAGTTTGGAGATTGGGCAATAGTGGTCACTATGTCAGTTTGTTCACAGGAGTCACACCCTGTATCACTGATGCTGCATTCAGGTCACATGGGAAAGATTGTAGAAAAGATGTCTATGAAGATTCTCAGTCATCCAGGTCATAGTTATCCAATGAAGGTTAAAATCAAGGGCAACTGGACTTGGTTGAAGATACTGGAAGACGTTTCGTCCCTCATCCAAAGGACTTCTTCAGTTCTGACTGAGCTCTGACTGAGTTCTGACTGAATAGCTCAGTTGAAACGTCTTCCAGTATCTTCAGCCAAGTCCAGTTGCCCTTGATTTTAACCTTCGTTGGATTGTAGAAAAGAGTTTCCAAGTAACAAATATTATTCATATCAGCTCTCAGGTTGTAAAAGGGTATTTGGGATTGTGAGATTTGAGGCTGGAATTTAAAATGTCTCTGTCTGCTTGAGTTCTGATTTAACAACATGGAAATACTTGGAACCAAATGTAAAGAATCATATTTTCATTTCATGGTTTTATGGCTAGACCTTATATCAGTGGCACATTGTCCATTTGTTGAAGAAGTTGAAATAGTTAACTTGTTGTAAAAGCAACTGAATGTATAGATCTATGATTGAATTTATAATTGATTGAACTTTTATTCTCTTCTTTCCTGTTTTTTGTCCCATTCCTAAAAGCCCCAGTCCATCAGCTGGAAGTGATCAGTTTGAGCTGCAGGTGTGACTTTGGTGTTTACCTGGCTGAGTTTGGTCTGAGTGCTGCGGTACTGGATCAGATGCTCCAGCTGGTTGTTGATGTGCACTCAGAAAAATACAAGGTGCTAAATGGAACCATGCTCGGTTCTTCTGAGTGATGCCATCCAAGATCCATTTTTGACTAAACACAGGTGAAGGGTTCGTCAAAGAACTAACAAAGGTTCTGGATGATGGGATGTTATATATCTGATGTTGCTACCAAGAACCCAGACTTGTTTCTGCACCAGCACATTCCCTAAAACCACTAAAATATTGCTTTACCTGACCGGCTATCAGGGTTAATGCCTAATAACGAACTAATCTAGGTCACTCTACGTGGACATCAACTAACTGTTACAATACCGTATTACAAATTACATGTTGATTAGCTCCGCGAGTCTTATCAGTATTTTACTGCGTGAGAAAATGAACGCGTCAGTTGCGTGAGTCTTGCGAGACAGCTTTTTACCTGACCTCACAATTTCAATCTTGTGGCACGTCATGAATCCTATCAGGTGGGGAACCCCGTGACAAAGTCTTACCGAGTGGGGGTCCGTGGTCTAGTTTGTGTCAGTCCCTGACATAAAAAAAAAGTTTGAAAACCTCTATTCTACAGGACAGTTTTAATTAAAGCAGTGATACATCTGTTACAGAGGTGTTATTACAAGTATAAAGCAGTAGTACTTTATAGGGCATATTTCATGCAGCTTAAAGTCAATATAAAATAAGTCGATCAATACTGAGACACAGAAATGGCTCAGAAGGAATGAAAATAGGAAAGTATTGCGAGGGAATGCAAATGTGATCCTCAAAAATATCCTCTCTGTGATCCCCTTGGGGCTACATATATGATAATTGAAGCCCAAGTCAATTATTATTATTTTTTTGCAACTATTTTTAAATGCATTTTGCCAACTGTCTTTTAATTTTGACTTGCAAAGTTACATTTAGACTTTTGTGAGTTTATTTTCCTAACTTGTTATCCGGTATTTGTTTTTCGGTTCTTGGCAGAGATGGTCTTCCATAGCTCAGCTGCAGAAATCGCCCTTTGTCTCAGCTGTTCGGTTGCAGTGGAGCTCAGGTTGCCTCCGTCGGCCGACTGTGAGGTTGCAGCTCTCTGATTGGCTCCGTGTTCAGTTCCTCCTGAGGAAATCACTCCTTTTATAGTTAACGGAGCGCAGAGCGGCTGTTTTCCGGGTTCACACTCACTCAGCATGTAGAGGAGGCGGACCGCAGGGAGACACCTGGACCACCGCGGACACGCCGAGCCAAAACACGGTATCGATCAGCTGACATCGATCAGCTATCATTGAAGGTGAGGATCGCGGGAGGGGCAGGGGGGGGGGGGCTGGATTGAGTTCTGGGCTGGGAGATAGTAGGGAGGTTGGTTTGTGGACCAGGAGTTGGGGGGTTTCAATCGTCTCTGGGTGGATCCTGGTCTCAGATCAGACATGTCAGGTCCTGCAGACTGCTGCCGCAGGCTCACCACAACTACTACAATGTGGCTTCAGGGTTTACTTTTTATTCAGATTATTCCTATATCAAATCGAAGTCAGCGTTTTTATTTCTGCTCTGAGATCAGATAATTTCAACATCACGTTGACTGAATCTGACGACACCGACAAAACACTGTTTGTACTGTGTGTACTCAGCAACGTACATTTACCCAAGCTGGAGAGGTTCTTGCTCCAAATGTATTTACACATTTTACACTTAAAGATATACAGAGTGCTGGAAGAAACATTCAGGAAATATCAATACCATAACAGTATCAGTGCCAACAAACAGTGGTGGAAAGGAAGTACTTTAAATGTACTTTACTTTAGCAACTGGCTCCAGATTGAGAAACTACAACTTTACATCTACATCTATTCATGATAAAAACAGAATGATATGAGTACTTTTACTTTGGATACTTTAAGTACATTTTAATGCTAACACTTTTTAATTTGTACTTAAGTAAAACTAGTTTGCATACATGACTTTTACTACACTGTGGTATTACTACTCAAGTAAGAGTAGTTTGAATGCAGGACTTTTACTACACTGTTGTATTACTACTCAAGTAAGAGTAGTTTGAATTCAGGACTTTTACTACACTGTGGTATTACTACTCAAGTAAGTGTAGTTTGCATACATGACTTTTACTAAACCATAGTAACACAACTTAAATAAAAGTAGTTTGAATGCAGGACATTTACTACACGGAAGTATTAGGCTACTACTTAAATAAGTAGCCATCAAATACTCCATTACAAGTAAAACTACTACATTTCAGATATTACTAGAGTAAAAACACATGAGCAGATGAATATCTGTGTAATACGTGTAATATGTGTAAGACGTGGTACTTTCATTAGGGTCGTTTGTCTGATGTTGGATGCAGCAAAACATTGTGTATCTCGTGTTGCATGTAAAATCTGAATGACTCTTCAAAGTAAGCAAAATCATGTTTATTCAATTATGTGTCCTGTGCTCAAAACATAATTCTTAGTGAATGAGGGATAACCAGATAAAAGTACTACAAGCAGAAGTTATTATACAGAATAAATACTCTCTTTTACATTAAACGTCAGAACAGAATTGCCGAATAGGTCGATTAAGAGGCGCGTTTATAATATATGTACATATATGTACATATAATAAGTTTATTGTTAGGCCGCAACTTTTAGTGGCAGAAGAAGTCAGGTGACGGAGTATAAAGAGCGATAAAGTCCGTGTTAGGTGGTGGTGGGGTGGATGGATGAGTCAAGTAAACTCAAGAGTTTCACACTAAAGAGGTGGAGGTTCAAGTCCCGTGTGAAGCCAGGTACTCACTACTTTCAGATATTTCATTGACTAAACTTACTGACTGGGAATGAAAATAGTCTTTAGTTGCAGCCATAACTTGAACTCTCAATTCTTCTGTTTCAGTGCATTGTTCCTTAAAACACCTTAGACGCCACACCCCTTCACACGTCACTAAGAGTGTTATTAATTATTATAGAGCAGAATAGAATAGAATAGAATACCACTTTATTGTAAGGGTAATCTTTGGGTCCAGCAGACCTATAAGAACATCACTATACAAACATATACAGACATATACAAGCATCATATTACATCTCTCTGCACATCAGATTAATTATTAATAACATTCAGTGAAATGGCACAACAGTCAGTTAAAATCACCCAATCATAGTTTAGTTTCTTACATTTTACAATGAAACAATGTCTTTTACACCCCTGAAATAATATTTTGAGCGATTATCTAAAGACTTTATAGGCGTCTGTGTCATTTTTCTTGTATTTTGGGTTCCTGGCAGCTTTACACATAATTAATTATAAATAATTAATAATAAATCAGACTTAAAGCGTGCATGAGGGGTGAGGACAGTTTAAAAAGCTGCTAAACAAAAGACAAAGATGAATGCAGTGACCCCGCCTATAAACCTGCACAGGATTAATAAAAATGCCTTAATTACTAGAATAAAGGTGCATGTACATCCTTTAAAGGATTGATCCTTGTTGTTTGAATCAGTGACATTCTGTTGAAGATGTAATCATTAAGACATGCATATTTATGTGTATTTGTGTCATAGTTTGGCTGCTATTAACTGTGCTTCAGTCCAAGTATTTATACATTGTGGTACTGTGGTAATAGTTCTTCCGTGACAAGTGGAAACAGTTTTTCAGAAGTTAAATGTTACTTTGATGAAACTTCTGACTTTAGGATGAGTTCTGCAGTCAGAGGAAGATCATTTTGGAGAGACGAAGTTCCTTTTGCACGTTTTAAATTCTGAGCAGTGCTTCTTCTGTGCTGCGCAGCAGGGTGTTGTTATTCACGCTGTGTCTTACCTGATCTGAGCTCAGTCTGCTCTACTTCCTCTGTTTTTAAATTTAGGCCAAACTTTCAGAGACTTCATCACTTCCTCTTTTCACTGCTTTTAACGAGAAGACGCCGCTTTCAGTTCAGTGTGCAGTTCTCAAACTCCGCGTTCGCCTGCAGAGCGACAGACTTTTACTTGATTTAATTTACTTTCAGAAAGTTAAACCCTTTAAAAAAAGACAGTTCTCACTTCACCGTCACAGTAAGTAGCTTTAAGGTTGTTAAAATCAGTGTACAGTTTATTGTGTATCATGTTGTTCCAGCTTTTCAAACCACAGCCTCCATGTTTTTAACTGTCTGCTGCAACATTCGAGAAACATTTCCCTAAAATTCAGCCTGACATGTTTGATGTCTTTTTTGATCTCCAGTAGAAGTGTTGCACGGGTTTGAGCTGAGTTTAAAGTGCCTGAGACGTTTTAAATGTCTTTGTAGAGGCAGAGGTGCTTGAAAGTCTTTGAATCTCACAGAGTTTGTGGGTTGGATGACCAGCTGAGCAAAGTGTGTCTGACTAAAACTAATTTTGGTTTGGTACAAAATCAATATCAAACAATCAAGGCTAAAGGCTCGTCCTGGGCTCTTTACCTGTCCGGGATACTCCTAAATTTCCAAGTGTTCAACTAAACTGTACCACTACCAGGTGGTCATTCGGGGCCTACAGCTCAGTTTCCCCATCGTCCTTCAGTGGTTAAATCCAGCGGTCACTGCAGCCGTCTGTCACCTTCAGTTAGAGCATCTTCTGTGCTGCACAGCTGTTAGCATGTTAGCAGCGTAGCTCCAGGGATGGCGGTGTTGGTCATTATCTCATCAACTTATCGACAGCGTGCCGTGAAAGTTTATACAGACGTTCATGGACCCCAGAGGACGGCTCCTGACGCCTTTGATGATCTTGACTTTGCACCTAGCGCCATCATCAGGTCACATTTTGTCCATCACTTACCTGCAGAACTGATGACCTTCCCATCAGCCTCAGCTGCTAATGTTAGCATGCTAATGTAACAGAAGCCAGCAACTGAACCGACGGCTCTGTGTGGCGCTAGCTAGCTTGCTTAGCTAGGTGCATCGGTAATTCACGTTAACTGTCATTTAACCAGGATAATCATTTTGGCCAGAAAATAAAAACGGGCATAAAACAAAATGTATTCACCAGAGAAAATGAACTGCTGACGCCTGATAAGATTTTTAAACTGCACTGGTTAAATTTACTTCCTCATTCGCCTCACTTTTCAGACCCGGAGGTTCACGCTTGTTTTCACATTTAGCACAGAGCTGCTTGCTTGGCGGTAGTCTCTCCGTGTCTTTGGCTTGATTGTTCAGTTTAAATTTTAACATGTTGTATGTAGCACCGATGTGCATGTTTATACTGTACAACTTTACGAGTATCCTCACAGTATGTGTTAGCATATTTACATATGTAAATGGATTTTAACCGGTGTTTTTAATCCACGAGTTTGTATTTTTGCCTTTAAAAGTTGAATGTTTTAACAGCAAATAAGCAGCTGAGAGAACACTTACTATGACCACTTACATACTACTTATATGATCCATTTTTGTACGTTTGTTTTTGTTAATATTAGATTGTAATTAGGGCTGCTTGTAGTTTTTGATTCATGCCTGTTACTATTTACAATTAACTGATCCATTGTTAGGCTAATAGACCAAAAGCCAAAAACATTCAGTTTATTATTATATTGAAGAGCTAATCCTCACATTGGAGAAGCTGCAGCCAGAGAATAATTGGTGTTTTTATCCATACTGCTGTTGATTCACTTTCAGTCGATCCCTTTAGTGCTGCCTGTCTTGTTGTTATTCTGTTTTACTGTATTTTTATGTGAGGATATTTATAGAAACATCTGTATGAAATTGTTTCTGTATCATGTATGTTTGCATGTCATGGATTTAAGCTCTTATATTTACACAGATTATTATCGCGGCCTTTCAGTCTGTCTTCACTCTTCTTCCACTTTTTAATCTTGACAACCTAAATCTGGACGGTTTGTGAAGAAGATTTCAATTTCACTATCGTTCATACAGAGCGGCCCAGCGTTTTAGTGGCACTCGCTGCATTTAAATGAAAGTTTATGTTTTTGTCATTGGTATATATACATATATATATATATATAGTCCTCTGCGTTAAAGTGATGATTGTTGTGTTCACGTACAAAGTACATTTGATGGGCTGAGGCGTTTTTAGACGTCACATGAAGCTCTAAGGTTCTGTGCAGCTGAACTGTCTTTAGATGCGCTCAGGGCTTTGTGACCTCTGATCCCTGCAGGCCACTCCTTAAACCAGGTGTGTTTGTTTGTGTTGTTAACACAGTGACACCGTTATAGACACAGTACAAAATCTTATTTTCCTAAAACTAGAACACAGCTCCTCACCGAGGCTGCGACATTCCTCTTGTTCCCTCTTCTGTTAATTCAGAAAACAGGACAGAATAAGACACATCAGCTGCTCTGAAAACAAGAAAAATCACGTTTGATTCTGGAAAAGGTTGAAATAAACACGCCGCACTGAAAGTTTCTGCGCTTTGAGGACTCCGTAGACTAACAGGCCTGTTAGGGTCCAATATTATGTAGATTATTGAACACGACTGTTACGGCTAATTAATTAAAGTCAGTCACATTGACGGCATCATTCTCACTACAAACTGATGCTATTTTTACACAAACCCAAATTTGCCTCAAATACACAGAGTCTGTACATCTTCTGTCTTCTACTTAGACTCTCACTTATGAGGATGAAGTCCCCTCAAACAAACCTTAAATAATGTGAAGAGAAGCCACAATCAGAAAGAGCAGTTTGCAGTAACACTGAAACAGCTCTGAGCTGTGTGAGTTCACAGCCTCCTCACAGCTTTGCCGGCCTCTCGTGTTCTGTGAAAAAACTGTTAGACATGTAAACCAAAGTGGCATTCTGACCCGCTGATGGTGCTGCATGAAAACACCGTTACTGTCAGCACCAAACGCCGCCGACCTTTAATCTGAACTGTAGACGACAGTGCTGGAACAATAAAGTTCAGTTAAAGTACTAATACCACAGTGTATAAATACTCTGTTACAATAAAGTCCTGTATAAATAATGTTACTTCAGTTAAAGTACTAATACCACAGTGTATAAATACTCTGGTACAATAAAGTCCTGTATTCATAATGTTACTTCAGTTAAAGTACTAATACCACAGTGTATAAATACTCTGGTACAATAAAGTCCTGTATTCATAATGTTACTTCAGTTAAAGTACTAATACCACAGTGTATAAATATTCTGGTACAATAAAGTCCTGTATTCATAATGTTACTTCAGTTAAAGTACTAATACCACAGTGTATAAATACTCTGGTACAATAAAGTCCTGTATTCATAATGTTACTTCAGTTAAAGTACTAATACCACAGTGTATAAATACTCTGTACAATAAAGTCCTGTATTCATAATGTGACTTCAGTTAAAGTACTAATACCACAGTGTATAAATACTCTGTTACAATAAAGTCCTGTATTCATAATGTGACTTCAGTTAAAGTACTAATACCACAGAGTATAAATACTCTGGTACAATAAAGTCCTGTATTCATAATGTTACTTCAGTTAAAGTACTAATACCACAGAGTATAAATACTCTGGTACAATAAAGTCCTGTATAAATAATGTGACTTCAGTTAAAGTACTAATACCACAGTGTATAAATACTCTGTTACAATAAAGTCCTGTATTCATAATGTTACTTCAGTTAAAGTACTAATACCACAGAGTATAAATACTCTGTTACAATAAAGTCCTGTATTCATAATGTTACTTCAGTTAAAGTACTAATACCACAGTGTATAAATACTCTGGTACAATAAGGTCCTGTATTCATAATGTTACTTCAGTTAAAGTACTAATACCACAGTGTATAAATACTCTGTTACAATAAAGTCCTGTATTCATAATGTGACTTCAGTTAAAGTACTAATACCACAGAGTATAAATACTCTGTTACAATAAAGTCCTGTATTCATAATGTTACTTCAGTTAAAGTACTAATACCACAGTGTATAAATACTCTGGTACAATAAAGTCCTGTATTAATAATGTGACTTCAGTTAAAGTACTAATACCACAGTGTATAAATACTCTGGTACAATAAAGTCCTGTATTCATAATGTGACTTCAGTTAAAGTACTAATACCACAGTGTATAAATACTCTGGTACAATAAAGTCCTGTATTCATAATGTGACTTCAGTTAAAGTACTAATACCACAGAGTATAAATACTCTGGTACAATAAAGTCCTGTATAAATAATGTGACTTCAGTTAAAGTACTAATACCACAGTGTATAAATACTCTGTTACAATAAAGTCCTGTATTCATAATGTGACTTCAGTTAAAGTACTAATACCACAGTGTATAAATACTCTGGTACAATAAAGTCCTGTATAAATAATGTTACTTCAGTTAAAGTACTAATACCACAGTGTATAAATACTCGGGTACAATAAAGTCCTGTAAATAATGTGACTTCAGTTAAAGTACTAATACCACAGAGTATAAATACTCTGTTACAATAAAGTCCTGTATTAATAATGTTACTTCAGTTAAAGTACTAATACCACAGTGTATAAATACTCTGGTACAATAAGGTCCTGTATTCATAATGTTACTTCAGTTAAAGTACTAATACCACAGTGTATAAATACTCTGTTACAATAAAGTCCTGTATAAATAATGTTACTTCAGTTAAAGTACTAATACCACAGTGTATAAATACTCTGTTGCAATAAAGTCCTGTATTAATAATGTTACTTCAGTTAAAGTACTAATACCACAGAGTATAAATACTCTGGTACAATAAAGTCCTGTATTAATAATGTTACTTCAGTTAAAGTACTAATACCACAGAGTATAAATACTCTGTTACAATAAAGTCCTGTATTCATAATGTGACTTCAGTTAAAGTACTAATACCACAGTGTATAAATATTCTGTTACAATAAAGTCCTGTATTCATAATGTGACTTCAGTTAAAGTACTAATACCACAGAGTATAAATACTCTGTTAAAATAAAGTCCTGTATTAATAATGTGACTTCAGTTAAAGTACTAATACCACAGTGTATAAATACTCTGGTACAATAAAGTCCTGTATTCATAATGTTACTTCAGTTAAAGTACTAATACCACAGAGTATAAATACTCTGTTACAATAAAGTCCTGTATTCATAATGTTACTTCAGTTAAAGTACTAATACCACAGAGTATAAATACTCTGTTACAATAAAGTCCTGTATTAATAATGTTACTTCAGTTAAAGTACTAATACCACAGAGTATAAATACTCTGTTACAATAAAGTCCTGTATTGATAATGTTACTTCAGTTAAAGTACTAATACCACAGTGTATAAATACTCTGGTACAATAAAGTCCTGTATTCATAATGTTACTTCATTAAAGTACTAATACCACAGATTATAAATACTCTGTTACAATAAAGTACATGAAAATACAACATTAATATTGTATGTGTAAGGTAGAATAATCAGGAAAAAGTGCTTTAAAGTATAAAAGCAGTAAAATGTCCCTGTACTATATATATATATATATATATATATATATATATATATATATATATATATATATATATATATATATATATATATATATATATATATATATATATATATATAATCTCTCATCATTTGTAACTAAAGCTATCAGATAAATATGGTGCAGTAAAAGTGCAGCATGTCCGTCTGTGTGTGTTGACAGCATGGGGAACCTGATCAAGGTGTTAACCAGAGACATCGACCACAATGGAGGAAACTTCTTCCTGGACTTTGAGAGTAAGACACACACACACACACACACACACACACACACACACACACACACACACACACACACTCACACAGTCAGAGAGACGGCAGAGAGCGTGTGCTTGACCTTTGACCCCTCCCCCACCTGCAGACGCTCAGCCCTCGCAGTCGGAGACGGCGGTGTGGGAGGAAGTGAACCAGGTGCTGACGGAGTCTCGGGTCATCCTGGAAGACCTGCAGTCGTACAGAGGAGCAGGAGAGGAAATACGACAGGTAATACATGACAACAGCAGAGGGGGAATGAGCTAAGTACTTTAAATTAGAGGTACTTGTACTCCACTGCATCTCAGAGGTGAATATTGCACGTTTAGTAGTTTAATGAGCTCAAGCTTAAACATCTACAGCAGTAAAAATGAAGCAGCTTGAATATAAATTTAGAAAGATGAGCTAAGAGTGAAACACTGACAGGAACATTTTACTGCACTGTGAGCACTTTTACTTTCATGTTTTAGGTACATTGTAAAGTACATTGTTAGTAGTCTGGTGAAGGTTTGTGTTGGTATCGTAGTTGTTTGTTGCTCTGAGGATCGCTGTATGGTTGTGACTTCTGTTGATCTATTCTGCTGAGAACAGACTGTGTGTGTGTTGTCAGGCCATCCAGAGTCCTGGTGTGGAGGGGGTCCAGGAGAAGGCCTGGTCAGCTGTGGTTCCTCTGGTGGCTAAACTCAAAACCTTCTACGAGTTCTCCCAGAAGCTCGGTAAGAACCTGAAAACACTTTAAATAAACATCTACAAACTTTCGGGCTGTCGACGTCAGTAAACGTTGTTTCCTGTTTGTTACATTATGAATTTCAAGCTGCAGCGTCTCATTTCCACAAATACAAAATAAGAACAAAAACATGTACAAAACAAAACAGATAGACGTAACGCTCCGTGAGCTGCTTCAGCTGTTAAAATCAGGAAGTCGCTCAATGAAAGGGACGAGAAATGCAAGTTCATGCATCATTTAGAAAACGTACAACGGAGCAAAATAAACAGATGCATGTAAAAAAGAAAAGAAGGTGAGTTCACTGACCACCACCAGCGCGGTACAGCCAACCACATCAAGAGAATAAGGTCGAGTCAGAACTGAACGCTGACAGGGGAAGATTCCTCCGGTCAGGAGCTGCGTTAAAATGGAAAGAAGCTGATGGATGTGGAGTTAGTCATGGTGAAAACTTACCGTCCCGCTGTGTCTCCTCCCTCCCTTCTCCTCCCCCCTCAGAGTCCAGTCTGCGATGTCTCCTGGACGTCCTCACCAGCTCCGCTTCGACTCCCACTCAGCATCTGGAGCAGAAACAGGCTCTGGCTCGTCAGTTCGCCCACATCATGCACTTCACGCTGCGCTTCGACGAGCTCAAGGTCTGCTCACGCTGCTCTGCACCTCCTGCTCCTCCTCCACCTCCCGCATCTCCTGCTCCACCTCCTGCACCTCATGTTCCTCCAGCATCTCCTGCTCCACCTCCTGCACCTCATGTTCCTCCTCCTGCACCTCCTGCTCCTCCTCCTCCTCCTCCTCCTGCATCTCCTGCTCCACCTCCTGCACCTCATGTTCCTCCAGCATCTCCTGCTCCACCTCCTGCACCTCATGTTCCTCCTCCTGCATCTCCTGCTCCACCTCCTGCTCCACTTCCTGCTCCTGCTCCACCTCCTGCATCTCCTGCTCCACCTCCTGCTCCACCTCCTGCTCCTCCTCCACCTCCTGCATCTCCTGCTCCACTTCCTGCTCCTGCTCCACCTTCTGCATCTCCTGCTCCACTTCCTGCTCCTGCACCTCCTGCTCCTCCTCCTCCATCTCATGTTCCTCCTCCTGCACCTCCTGCTCCTCCTCCACCTCCTACATCTCCTGCTCCACCTCCTGCTCCTCCTCCACCTCCTGATCCACCTCCTGCTCCTCCTCCACCTCCTGCTCCACCTCCTCCACTTCCTCCACCTGCCCCACCTCCTGCTCCTCCTCCACCTCCTGCACCTCATGTTCCTCCTGCTCCTCCTCCTGCTCCTGCACCTCTTGCTCCTCATCCACTTTCTTCACCTCCTGCACCTCATGTTCCTCTTGCTCCTCCTCAACCTCCTGCTTCTTCTGCACCACCTCCTGCTCCTCCTCCTGTTCCTACACCTCTTGCTCCTCATGTTCCTCCTGCTAATCCTGCTCCTCCTCAACCTCCTGCTCCTCCTCCACCTGCACAGCTCCCTGCTCCTCTTGTACTTGTTCCACCTCCTCATCTACCCTCCCTCCTCTTGTCTTCATCTACTTCACCTCACCTGCCACCTCCTTTATTTTGAGTTCCACGTCCGCTGCTCCTCCTTCCTCCTCCTCCACTGTTGGAAATTCACTAAGTACATTTACTCAAGTACTGCACTTAAGTACACAATCAATGTACTTGTATTTTACTTGAGTATTTTCATTGTATGCTGCTTTATACTTCTTCTCCACTTCATTTATCTGACAGCAGGAGTTACTCGTCACTTTACATGTAAACTCAGCTCGTTTGATTTTAAAACAATTACATTTTAAATATTTTGTATTGTAAATTTATATTTATGATTCTTTACTTTTGCAGTACTTTTTTCTTTTCTCTTTTGTTTGTATATGAAGAACTACTTGGCAATAAACAGATTTCTTAACTGATACAGATTAGGATTTTAAAGTATGAACAAAACATCTGATTATTAAAACACTGTTACAGATTAAAGTACTCAGTAATATATAAAAAACTTAGTACTAGCTCCACATCAGTAAAATGCGTTAGTATAAACGCCAGTTTTCTGCAGAACCTACTCTCACTTGTACTGGAGTATTTTTATATTCCTGTACTGCTACTTTTACTTACCTAAATGATCTGAATACTTCTTCTTCACTTGGTTCCAGATGACGAATCCGGCCATCCAGAACGACTTCAGCTATTATCGCCGAACCATCAGCCGCATGAGGATCAACAACGTGTCTGTAAGAAACACAAACTGCATGAAACTGAAATATCCTGCATCCTATTAAACACATCTGGACACATTTAGTTTTGGATCTTTAGGAACTCGTGTAGGAGATAAAGTCCCAGATACCTTTTTAAATCATCTTGAAAAGTTTCCTAAAGGTTTATCATTTGTTCAGGCCGACCGAGGAAATGAGGTCAACAACGAGCTGGCCAATCGGATGTCTCTGTTTTACGCCAGCGCCACGCCGATGCTGAAGACGCTAAGTGACGCTACGTCAAAGTTCGTCTCAGACGTGAGTCCGTCCAGATTTCTATAACAGTGTCTTTGTGATGTTATAGTTTTGTTTTTAGTAATGCGTTCTGTGTATTCATTTACTGAATGTATTAATTAACAGCTCACGTACTCATTAACTGCTAACTTTGAGTACCTCAGTATGTTTTATTTCTTCCTTGGTTGCTGAGAAAACTGCAAGAAACAAAAAACAGCATGAACACACACATAAAAGTTCTGCATCATTAGTTCAAAGTTAATGTTAAAGCTCGGGGCAGAGTCTGACTCCCTCCCTTCAGGCCTCCCTGCAAACTCCTGTTCAGGCAGGTCGGCAGGTGAAAGAAACCAGATTTATTTTAATGATTTGATTTATTGATTTAAATAAATGATATAGAGAAAATCACTCATTAAATTGCGTCACATTGTTGTTGTAATGAACCTTTCAGCCTGTAGGGGTCAGGCTTCAGACCGCCCCTCTTGTTTCTAAACAACCCACCAGCAGAGGTCCACCTCACTACATTATTCTGATGCTACAAGCTCTGAAGGAGCCTCAGTGTTTAATGAGCCCTGAAGTTGCCATTTAATCATTAACAAGTTTCCTGTTTTGTGTTTCAACGGCGAGTTCGCAGTGAGAAATAAACCTAAAAGAGGAACAACAGTGTTACATTCAGCTAAATAACATTTACATACAGGCTTTAAAGCATTTCAGTTTTTGCACAGAAGCAACAATGACCGTTTTTGCAGTGCTTAAATTTTAATTAGAATGAACTGTACAACAGTTGAACTTTTTACTTCCCTAAATTGACAGTTTAGTTACTTTGCAGATTAATAATTTACGTAATATATGACCAGTGTGTTAAAAATTAAGTCACATATTAAATATATAAATAAGAATCTCCTCTAACAACCTGAACCTCTAACATTAAAATGCTACTCAGACATATTCTGATATATAATAACACACTTTAACCTTTTTCAGTACACTTTTCTGATTCTTCAGTACTTTACAGGACTTTTCTTTAATGCTACTTTTACTTTAAAGATCTGAGTACTTATTATAAGTTATTTATACAAGTGTTTCTTTTTTGGATGTTTTTTGGAATTACATGCCATACTTTTTTTTTTTACTGAAACTTTATTAAAGTTAAAATAGTTACTCTATTTGAATGAAACTTTATTGTCCTGTTGCAGAACCCAGACGTCCCGATTGAAAACACGACAGACTGTCTGAGTACGATGGCCTGTGTGTGTAAAGTGATGCTGGAAACACCGTAAGTCCTGACCTGTTCCTGAACGCATCATGACAGCCACCTGCCTCAGACATGAGCCAACCCTGTGTGTGTGTGTGTGTGTGTGTGTGTGCACAGGGAGTATCGCAGTCGTTTCACCAGTGAGGAGACGGTGTTGTTCTGCCTCCGTGTGATGGTCGGTGTCATCATCCTGTACGACCACGTTCACCCGGCTGGAGCCTTCGTTAAGACCTCCAATATAGACGTACGTTAGCAAGACAACAGCACACACACACACACACACACAGAGTTACTGCTCTTCTCAATGCTTTGTTCACTCGAAGTAATGAGGTCCTCCATGAACACACTTTCTGCCAAAGTTATTTGACGTGGGCGGGAAACGTCCCTGTCAGTGCTGATGAAGCAGATCGGCTGAGACTCTGAATGTCAGTAATACCGAAGGAAGTTTATTTCTAAACTCTCAGAATGCAAATTAATACTCAAAGATTTTAACACAAGTTGAAACAATAATGGGAGTCACATTTTTAATGTGCGGCCAAGACTCATTGATGCACGTGGGGAGCGTCGTCTGGCCCGTGCGGACGAGCTACTGTAGGTCAAACTGCTGAAAAAAGCGTTGATGCAGTTTCTGGTAGAAAGATGTCAGAACACACAGTGAATCACAGATCTTTGGATATGGGGCTGCGTAGCCGCAGGTCATGCTGACCCCTGTGAGCATCAGAACTGGACCCCGGAGCAGAGGAAGATGGTGGCCTGGTGTGACGCTGACAGCACGCCGTCAGAGGTCACGTGGTCCATACATTGACAGGTCAGGGCTGGTTTGGTGGCAAAAGGGACACCTACACAATATTAGACAGGTGGACATCACGGCAAGGAACTGCCCAGAAAGTAATGGCACTCCACTCCTGCCCACACTGGAAGACATCTTCAGAACACGGCGCCTCCGCAGCGCCAGCAACATCCTGAAAGATGAAACACACCCGTCTTATCAGCTCTTCTCACTGTCGCCATCTGGAAGGTGTAAAGAGCCCCGACAACACGCACCTCCAGGCAGAAAAACAGCTTCTTTCCAAGAGTCATCGCTGAGTTAAACTCTATTCAGCACCGTCCTGTTCCTACGACCACAAGGTCTGCATCATACAGTGCCTTGCGAAAGTATTCGGCCCCCTTGAACTTTGACCTTTTGCCACATTGCAGGCTTCAAACATAAAGATATAATTTTTGTGAAGAACCAACAACAAGTGGGACACCATCATGAAGTGGAACGAAATTTATTGGATATTTCAAACTTTTTTAACAAATAAAAAACTGAAAAATTGGGCGTGCAAAACTATTCAGCCCCCTTAAGTTAATACTTTGTAGCGCCACCTTTTGCTGCGATTACAGCTGTAAGTCGCTTGGGTTACGTCTCTATCAGTTTTGCACATCGAGAGACTGAAATTTTTGCCCATTCCTCCTTGCGAAACAGCTCGAGCTCAGTGAGGTTGGATGGAGAGCATTTGTTTCCACAGATTCTGGATTGGATTCAGGTCTGGACTTTGACTTGGCCATTCTAACACCTGGAGATGTTTATTTGTGAACCATTCCAGTGTAGATTTTGCTTTATGTTTTGGATCATTGTCTTGTTGGAAGACAAATCTCCGTCCCAGTCTCAGGTCTTTTGCAGACTCCATCAGGTTTTCTTCCAGAATGGTCCTGTATTTGGCTCCATCCATCTTCCCATCAATTTTAACCATCTTCCCTGTCCCTGCTGAAGAAAAGCCGGCCCAAACCATGATGCTGCCACCACCATGTTTGACAGTGGGGATGGTGTGTTCAGGGTGATGAGCTGTGTTACGCCAAACATAACCTTTTGCATTGTTGGCAAAAAGTTTGATTTTGGTTTCATCTGACCAGAGCAGCTTCTTCCACATGTTTGGTGTGTCTCCCAGGTGGCTTGTGGCAAACTTTAAACGAGACTTTTTATGGATATCTTTAAGAAATGGCTTTCTTCTTGCCACTCTTCCATAAAGGCCAGATTTGTGCAGTATACGACTGATTGTTGAGTCTCCCACCTCAGCTGTAGATCTCTGCAGTTCATCCAGAGTGATCATGGGCCTCTTGGCTGCATCTCTGATCAGTCTTCTCCTTGTATGAGCTGAAAGTTTAGAGGGACGGACGGGTCTTCGTAGATTTGCACTGGTCTGATACTCCTTCCATTTCAATATTATCGCTTGCACAGTGCTCCTTGGGATGTTTAAAGCTTTGGAAATCTTTTTGTATCCAAATCCGGCTTTAAACTTCCTGCCTGGTGTGTTCCTTGTTCTTCATGATGCTCTCTGCGCTTTAAACGGACCTCTGAGACCATCACAGAGCAGGTGCATTTATACGGAGACTTGATTTCACACAGGTGGATTCTATTTATCATCATTAGTCATTTAGGTCAACATTGGATCATTCAGAGATCCTCACTGAACTTCTGGAGAGAGTTTGCTGCACTGAAAGTAAAGGGGCTGAATAATTTTGCACGCCCAATTTTTCAGTTTTTTATTTGTTAAAAAAGTTTGAAATACCCCAAAAATTTCATTCCACTTCATAATTGTGTCCCACTTGTTGTTGGTTCTTCACAAAAAATTACAGTTTTATATCTTTATGTTTGAAGCCTGCAATGTGGCAAAAGGTCGAAAAGTTCAAGGGGGCCGAATACTTTCGCAAGGCACTGTAACTTATCATAAACCCTCTGAACTGGACCACTCCATGTTTATCAGTCGAAGAGGTCACACTATGTGCACTTTAACTCTATTAATTTATTTATACATAATGATACCTTGTGCAATAATCTTTAGAACATTAGATGCAATATTCTGTACAGTAGCTTTTTAAATGTGCATATATGTGCAGAGTTTCCTTTTGTTTTAGGAGTTGCACAGCAAATCTTGTACTATCGGTGCAAGGACTAAGTTTTCTGATTCTGATTTCTGGTTTTAATGTTATGATCATAATAATAATAAAAAAAATGTACATAGCATTTATCGAAACCAGAGCTTACAAAGACAGAATGTTACATACAGTGTGGTACATATGAATTTCACACATAAACCAACCTGCAGACACATATAAGTACACACATGCAGACAAATGTACCCACACTGAATAAGATAATAAACTTATTTTCAATAAAAATGCGTTTTCAGAAGCATTTAAAAAAAAGATGCTGATTTTGCGAGTTCGTCCAGCAGGTTGTTCCTGGATTGAAGCTCGGCCCCCTTTAGCTTTACACCTCAACATGGGAACAGCTTACAGTCCTGCGAGGACCTCAGACTGTGTGCAGGATTAAAGGGACGCAGTAGCTCACAGATGTAGTCTTAAGTAATAAACTGGTAACCAGGGCAAAGACAGTAAAAAGAGTAATACGATCTCTTGTTGATTGTTGAATCGAAACAAAATCGGCCCAATTATCCTGTAGTGTGCTGCCAGCATTAGTTTTGTTGGAAAAGGGAGCACATGGGGATATTCTTTTGATATGCAGATTGTCAGGGCCACTAATAAGGTTTATTTACATCACTTTTAGTATTTAATTGAAGAAAGTTAGCAGCCATCTGTTTGTTGTCTTTAGGTTTTCAGGCTTTACCGTGTCGTGTATCATCAGCATAAAGATGGATGGAAATGCCTCCACGCCTACGAATACACAATTTACAGCACAGCTCATAAATCCTACATTTTGTTAACAGCTCAGTAGTTTAGATTATATGATGATTAGAAGAGTAAATTATTTCTGCACCACATTGGTTAGGTTTCCGTGTCTAGACCTGTGGAGACCTCTGGTGTCTTGTTCCTGTTTCCTGCTGCAGCCTCCTGCTTCAGGATCAGTCAACGTTTTGTTTTTTGGACATTTTCAGATGAAAGGCTGCATCCGAGTGCTGAAGGAGCAGCCGCCCAGCAGTGTGGAGGGATTACTCAACGCTCTCAGGTCTGACAGCCTCCACAAACACATCACAAATACTGTGATAGAAATGATCAACTGCAGTGTGCTGTAGTCTATTTAAACGGCTGAACTTTTCTGACCTGATATTATGATTATTATTTTTGAGTTATTATTTAACTGCCCCCTCCATCCCTGCAGGTATACGACCAAACATCTGAACGATGAGGCTACCTCCAAGCAGATCAAAACCTTGTTGCAGCCAAATTAACTCCATGCTTCTTCAGCGGAACTGAAACTGGAACGATACTGGGAAGTATTTTGGTCCAAATTTCAAAAGAACTACTGAACAAACCTTTAGCTAATGTGTCTTTGTTTAACCTCAGTTATTGTTTTTTTTTTAAACTCAGATTTTTTGTTGTAAAATAAAAAGAGAAAAGAAAAGAAAAAGAGCGAAACCTTTTAGTTGGTTGATCCAAGAGAAGATGGTGTTAAAACCAGCAGAGCTGCGTTCACGTCATGTCAGATTTACAACAAAAGGTGCGTTTGACTTCATGCTGAACTAATGTGATGCAGGCTGGACTTAAAACAAGGCGTGCTGGTTAGGAATTGTGTCCGACTTTTGCCGGCGCTGCAAAACGTCACCATGTCACATGACATTAAATCCTCACGGGAGCAAGACGGCTCATAGGCGCCCAGTCCGGCGGCTGCAGTTGCAATAAGCTCATGCAGGTAGAATGTGTCCGACTTGACGCCGCTGTTTTTATACCCCGCCCCTGCGAAGATTACAGACTTTTCCTTTGCTTCCAGAATGTGTCACATAAAGAAAATATTGCAGTGAATTAACTGAAATTGAAAGTTCTGTTAGCGCCACCTAGAGACCCACATCTTAAAAATGTTTTCATATGTCTTCCGGTGTTTTGCCAAACTCTTCTAATTCCCAACTCGTCACAAATGAACGCTTGGTCAACACCCTTTGGCGTTGTTGTTGCACGTGTAGGTCTCCACGTTTAGGTTAGCAATAACACATATGCAACGTCCAGACTGACTTCAGAATAAAACTAGTGGTGAACATTGTTAAAGGTGAAGGCACTTGGTTAGGTTTAGGAAAACATCATAGTTCGGAACGTAAGTAACATAACTGAAAAATAATCAATGCTGACATTTTGTTTCCTAAAGAAGAAACAAAGACTGATCTCCTGGGTTGGTTTCTGACTCACTCATCCACACCAACCACTTCTTTACTTGGACTTTTCTGTTATTTATAAATGGCCTACTTTTAGCATTGACAATGACGCTAAATGGCTTCCCCCAGTGCGTTGAACGATGATGTGGTCGTTCCATAGCCGTTCAGAAGAGCCATAAACACACAAACTAGTTTGTTTCAAACATTCACGGCCTCAACCTCTTCCAGGAGTGGAGCCAAAAATCGTCTTCTGGAGACCATGAATGTCCAGACCACATATGATCTCTTTTTGGCCAATACTTGAGGAGATTTGTATGGACAATCTGCGGTTCCTGACCGTCCGTGGGGCAAAATAAACGTCTTTAGCAACTGCAGCTGGGTCTGCTTGATTTAAATAGGCTAAACAAAATGACCCACAACTGGGCTGTGTAGACTTTGCGAAGGCTTGAGCATGTTTACCATTTATTTATCAGGTCATCTGTACTTCTGATGTGACGAGAATGCAGCTTTGGCGGTTTTCATGCAGCACCGATCTGTTAGCTGCCTTAGGGTTAAAGTGTGTTGGTGGTTCAACAGATCATCACCTCAGCCCCTTTTCCACCAGATGAACTTTTCCCCATTTCAAGAACCCAGGAACCTTTTTACTGGAGGAACCTTATCCCGGTATTAATTCCTCAGCCGCAGTTCCTACCTCAGTAAAAAGTCTCTGTGGCTGAGGTTGTACTTTTCAGTTAAACTTTGTAAACTGCTGAAATTCACAGTTTTACAGGACTGAACATCAGTGATTGGTCAAAAGCAAGATCAGCGAGAATCAAAAAGGAAAACACAGGTTTATTACAATTCATAGTTTTCACGTGACGTCACATTCCAAGGAAAACGCTCCCTTGGAGGCCAAAAAAGACGTTAATTTCTGCTGCCCGCCAGGAAGCAAGTGACACGCTGTTACTTTGAGTTCGTTACTTTTGCGTAGCGTTAAAATTCTGGATGGTTGTTGTGCTTTCGGATGCACTAATCGACGAGGAGACAAGCCTGAGCTGTGTGAGGTGAGGGATTCCCTACAAGGTAGACGTAAACATTACCAAAGTCGAGCGCTGGCAGGGACCCGGCGGTTTTAACACTTGCAATTTGTGTCCATATCTTTTTCCGCTCTTCCAAATGAGTTTTCCAAACCTGTTTGACACCTGATGTTTGTTGCTGTTTGATCCATTTTAAAGGGCACTATTTTCTCAGCCAGCCTCTTACTGTGAGTAATGTGTAAGCGAGAGCGAGGGTAATAGAAGGAGAAATAGTTAGAAAATATTGATGATATATTTATATTGCGGTGGGCTTTTACAAATAAATCAAGTATGGAAAACACCGGATGAGTGAGTGGTTCAAATTAGCAAAATTACAGACTTCCTGAATGTGTCACGCCTTGACAATTTTTTGTCTTAGTTGTAAATGTCTGTCTGGATCTTAGAGCCTCACGTGAACTGAATTTCACTCAATGCTCACGGCCCTAAAATCATGCACAGACAATAGAAGTTCCTGGTTTCTTGAAGGGTCATTTGGATTCTTTGGTGGAAAAAGGTTGAAATACTTAGTAGCCAGTTTATTGGGGTAAATTTAAACAGCTCATTCCTCCTCAGAAGATGAGCTGTTGGTGTCACTAACATCTGGTAAAATTAGCTTTTGGGACTCATTGACTGTAACTGCGTAGGAACCATAGAAAAGCTCAGGGAGAAGCTGCGAGCTGCTTTTTATTGTAGGTGGCAAATAGAACCAGCCTTACGTTTGACAAACCAACCAGTCAGTCCAAAGCAAAGTAAGTTTCCAGGTGCAACATCTTCATCACCGTGAGTCACGGTTTTCCAAATGTTTTGCAAGACAGAAGACTTTGGACTGAGGACTGGTTGTGGTTGTGGTTAACGAGGTGGGGAGGTTAACCACCAGGTTAACAGCACACAGCCACTTCACCGCATCTTTCTATGAGAAGCATCTTTGACGGTCTCCCACGCACTGGATAAGATAAACCCAGTTTTTATTTCTGTTTTTGCAGTTAAATCTACAAATTCACAGTATGATTTAATGAAGAGTAGGAATGATGTCATAACATTTTTTCATGCATGGGCCAGCAGTGTAAAACTGTCTGTATGATGTGGACAGCTAACATAGGAAGCACTGTAATAAACCGGCTACTGAGAGCAGTTTGGAACTAGCTAAGAGAAGGAGAACCACTGTGACGAACAAGATGCGGTACTGATACGAGGGAAACCTCAGACTGATGTGGAGTTAAGTTTTCTCAATGTTTGAACTGATCTGATCAGTGGGACTGCTGACTGGAAATCTTTACAAGCTTTTTATTTTTAGTTTGCTTTGTATGTTAATGCTGCAGTGTCAGGGATTGAATGGCATTAAATGTTTTAAATGATTTTTGTGTCGGCCAAATAAAGTTTATACATTTTTAAGAAAAATCTGATTCGACTGGGGAGTTTTTTTAATCTAGTAATCATTATATAATTGTTCTGTAATTGACCCTCTCAGCTGCTTCGGGAGGGTCTGAGTTTCTATGGGTCTGACTCACCCACAAGACGGGAACTACTCCCGTTTGGATGGTGAACTTCCTACTCTGCACTAATTTCCTGTGACATACCACAGGGATCCTAAGCTATTTATATGTTCTCTTTTCGGGCTATTTTTTTTTTTTTAGAAAAATCTGAATGACTGCTTTGACTGATGTTTCATTCTTGGAGTCAGCATCTGACTCAGTGGACCCTGCAAAACTCCGTCACATCTTGGTTGCGGTCCACATGTCCACAGGAAGCGTTTCAGAAGCTGTCTGTGCTTCGACAAACACAAAGCAATATAGTTTAGATTTGTTTAGCCAATTCTTTTATACCTGGTTATAAACAAACTAAAACAAATTTAAGTAACAGAAACAAACAAGACGAAACAGTGGTCTTGTGTGTACGTAAAGACGAAGTCAGTAACAATGAAAAGCATGTTTAAATTCACATTTTTACATCAATTGTATTTAAATACATACACAAGAGAATTCAACACAACAACATTGACCAGTGAAATGCCCTGTTCACACATCTGGTTAACAATCGTCGTCTCCAGCAGCCAGAACAAAACTGGAACAAGATGCAGCCTCATCCGGTGGACACTGGGGGTTAGGCTGGCTACACACAGCTGTATTGTCCCCAAGCAGCAACCTCAGGGCTGAAAAACTGCAGTAGTTCCTCTAATAGCCACTTGAGGCAGCCTTACAATGCCCCATGTTAAAATGCCCAGCTTTACAGCAGAAGTAAACATGTTTACAGCCTGGTACAGAATACAGTTTTGGTCTCTATAGCTAATATCCCCATATGACACAACTGAAGGGGGGTGAATTTTTGTTTAACTCACCTGTTTAAATTATATTAAGCTTAAAGTTATGCATAATTAAGGATGGGCAGCTTTGAGTGACAGCTGGGGACCCACCTAGCAGGCTTCATTCGGCCCGACTCAGCTCCACCTCTTTGCACATTTTTGGATTAGCCAGAGTCTGTTACTGCCAACACATTCTCATTCCCAACCCGTCACATATGGACGCTTGCTCAAGACTCCTTGCTGTTGCTTTTTAACGCCCTGGGTAAGCTTTAGGATAGTTTTTTGCATGTGTAAGGCTCCTTGCATTGTGAAACGGCAAATTTGATTAAGTTTAGGCACCAAAGCTACTGGGTAAGGTTCAGGAAAACATCATGTTTTGGGTTAAAATAACTACGTTACTTACTTAACTTACACAACCTACCTAAAAAAACAAAAGTTGACTGTTTCAAACATAAACAAACACCAGCCTCCTGGGTGAAAGTCCAGTTTCTGATGTACCCGTCCTCCCAAACCACCTCCTTACTTGGACTTTTCTGTTCCTACACCTGCTTTTAGTGATGCCACAGGGCTTCCCCCCAGTGCATTGAACGTTGACGATAAGGGGCTTCCCAGCGCGCTACAAATTTACCCCAAGGGGTCTTGACCATGCGTCCATATGTGACGACTTAATAGTGAGAACTGGTTGGCCAAGATGGTGATGGCCGGAGCCGCCCACGTAGGTGACATCACAGAGACCATGTCCATGTGGTGGGCAGTCTTTCTAAGATTCTCTGGGTCTCCCCTGTTCTTGCATTTCTTTACTGTTATAAATTCAGTTTATAATTTATTTCTCACCCCATCACTACCTTAGCTGTTCGGATCAATCACTCCCGTCTATTCAAATCTCCAAATTAAACTCTGACACAGATTGTTTGCAGATTGTGGAACAGTTGATGTCAGTATTTTTAAATCCTTCCTAAGACTCAGATTTTCACTTCTGCTTTTCAGTCGATGCTAATATCCTTTGACCGCAAGATTGTTTTTAATGTGTCTGTTGTTTTTCTGCTGATTTAGCTAAAACTTGGTGTATTTATTCGTCTTCGGTTGTTATGATGTGACTCTATTTTGAAATCTGGTCGTCTTTTGTTCAAGTGATATATAAATAAACTGACTCGACCAGACGGGGAAATGTTTCATTTAACTGGACTTTATTTCCATTCTCACTCAGAAGTTCTCTGAGGTTACAGTAAGTTGAAAGTATTTAACTACACCCCACCCAACACACACACACACACACACACATTTGTACTTGTATACTTGTGAGGACCCAAACTGACTTAAAAGTACATTTCTTAATCCTGGCCACAGTTCCCCAATCTGTTTATCCAGGCAGGTCAGAAAGGTTGGGTGGGGGGGGGTCCCTTTGGTCAGTCAGCACAGACTACAAGTTCAATGTATTTACAGAAAAAACAAAACAATTAAAAGCCTTTAAAAGTTTATGTTTTATTTTTTCTTTGGTGGCAAATGTTCCAGGGTCCAGTTCTGGTTTTGCAGCCTTGGGGTTGGAAGCCTCTGCCTCTAACCCTTAAACCCTAAAATCTAAGCTTAAACCTAAAAAAACCAATCCTCAAGCAGCTGTTTCAAGCTGTGAGGACTGAATAAAATATCAAACTCTTATCGGGTCCTCGCAGAGATAGAAGAGCACAGACTGAGTCAGCCTGAGATAACAGACGTTTGAACTTTCCATTTTAATTTACACACACTCAAACTAACACACACAGTTGTTTCCTGTCACATGTATTTCCCAGGAATTACTAACTTCCAAAGAATCTGAATACTGTGTGTGTGTGTGTGTGTGTGTGTGTGTGCTATTTGATAACCCTACATTTTTCCTCGCCGGTGTCATTGCTGAGATTGTGGGAAATGAGGAGGGCAGTAACCAAAGATTCAAGACCAACAACACCGCAGGACCGGTGGATCTGAGGACGCCGTTCAGGTCGTCCACACACAAAAACACACCCACACACATCAAAAACCCATTACTGTGTACTATGTACACTGTGAGACATTTCAGGTTTACCTTGGAAATGCAGGTTAACTCAACTTGAAGACTGCCTTTGTTTCCACTCACAATTTAAAGTTCATAAAGTTGAAATATCAACAGTGTTCTAGTTTCCTCAATGTTGCTTTTTAGTTTAATTAACTTTTCATAACTTGTTCATAACTTACATACTTTGAGTTAAAACCCAAAAATATTTTCTTTACCACTGCCTGAAAACTTCTCTCAACTATACTAAGCTGCATTATTCTAACTTACAGTTTCAAGTTAAAACAACTTATCCACTTTTAAACTACTTTCAATTTCAAGTTAAGAGGATTTAAATTCAAAATTACTTTAAATTTCCATGTATAAGGCCGCTGTCGGGTACTTTTCCTCTGGTGGAACTGGTCCTTTCTTGTTTACCACAAAAGTCTCTATTTTTTTGTTGGAATTTAAATACATGACTTATAATTAATAGTCGTTTATATCTGTGATTCAACTTTGCCATGTTATTATTTTTTTCAACTGAGTGACTTCAACAAAAGTCTCAAATAGTCAACACAATGAATTAATCCAAGTTTAACTTTTGAAAACTCACACAGTTGAGTTCCTAATCCAAAACTTGTCAGAGCTCTTTGAGAAAAAAAAGAAAAGAAAAAAAGAAGTAAATAAACAGAAAGTATGTGTGTTTATAGTTTTCATTGTTTCAAACATGTTGGATTGTCCAAAATGACTCTTTATATGTTATTATCAGAATTAGAGCCAGTAAAATGTAAAGCCTGCTTCAGTCCAACTCTGCAGCCAGTAGGGGGCACTAGAAGACACTTTAGACAGATAATCACGTGTGGAGGGACAGAAGGTGAGTGTTATATAGTGTTATCATGTTGGGGACGTTTGAATACAATCTTATCTGTATAATAAGTGTGTGTAGATTAGATGTCCAAGCTGCTGTAAATATGTGTGTGTGTGTGTGTGTGTGTGTGTGTGTGTGTGTGTGTGTGTGTGTTCCCGTTTGATTCCAGGAATGAGACACTGGGAAACCTGTGTTCTAGGTGTGTCTCACCTGAGATCAAAGAGAGGAAGCCGGGAGGGGGCGGGACTTTTCTTTTTTATCAAACATCCGTTATAACGGTGCGGCAGCTCGCCCACGCCCTACTGATGTACCGAGAACTAAACTACTGTGGTGGAGGATCTTTCTCTAACTTTAACCAAGTGCCCTGAGAGTTCAGCATACGGCAACTTAAGAAAACACCTTTACCAACTTGACAACATGCACAGCATTTAGAAAAAATGGTTAAAAGTGATAAAACAACCGAACACAGAAACTCTGCAAGCAGCACAGATGACAAAAAAAATTATTTCCAGCTAATTTGCAACCTCCGGATCTGACAAGTGAAGCAGTGCTGAAGTGCCTTATGAAGTGCATTTTCTCTGACAGCAAGCAGTCTCTGAGAAAATGTTTCTACTTCTCAGCTGATTTATTCCCTCAGTAATCACTTTCCTGATGAGTTTATGGTCTCAGTCGCTAGTTTCAAGTCTTCTTCAACACAGCGTGATGTTCATTTAGTAAATTATGGTCCCATTTAGAGGAACAGAGACCAGAAAGCAGGGCAGGCTTTAGGGCGGGGCTACAAGGTGATCGACAAGAGTCTATAACGGCGATCAGTATATACACTGAACAAAATTATAAACACAACACTTTTGTTTTTGCCCCCATTCACCATGAGCTGATCTCAAAGATCTGAGACTTTCTCTATGTACACAAAAGGCCTGTTTCTCTCAAATATTGTTCACAAATCGGTCAAAATCTGTGTTAGTGAGCACTTCTCCTTTGCCGAGATAATCCATCCACCTCACAGATGTGGCATATCAAGATGCTCATCAGACAGCATGGGGATTGCACAGGTGTCCCTTAGGCTGCCCACAATAAAAGGCCTTAGGCTGCCCACAATAAAAGGCCTTAGGCTGCCCACAATAAAAGGCCTTAGGCTGGCCACAATAAAAGACCACTCCAAAATGTGCAGTTTCACTGTTGGCATCGACATCAGTAAAAAAACGTCCACCTGCACGACGCCATACAC